CATCTACCATCCAAAAAGATCACGCTCTGTTTATCATGACTACTAGCTAGCATAGTCTAGTCTGGGTTGATTACATGAACTATTGCCACTAAAATGTTCCATTTGGTTATTGTGGCCTAAAGACTGACTAAATAACGTTTTTCTATAGAAAGTATTATTTTTCCTTGATGGCTTAGCTTTGGTCCATAATAAGGCTTATAGTCATTAAATAGGAGAAGGATTTTAAATGACAGCTTCCAAATCCTTTTATTGTAATTGAGTCAAGAAGTATTATACTTTTTAGCGAGGTTTAGGTTTAATACCGACCAAATCTTTTTATAGTGTTTGAAATTCGTAATTCAAATAGTATTTTGGAAAAAAAGAAAGTAAAAATTTTGTAACAGCTCCACTCGATTTTGTATATACAGGTGCTGGTCATAAAATTAGAATATCATGAAAAAGTAGATTGATTTCAGTAATTCCATTTAAAAAGTGAAACTTGTATATTATATTCATACATTACATACAAACTCATATATTTCAGATGTTTATTTTGTTTAATTTTGATGATTACAAATGACAACAAATGAAAATCTCAAATTCATCATATCAGAAAATTAGAATATTACTGAAGACCAATAAAAACAAAGGATTTATAGAAATGTTGGCCAACTGAAAAGTATGTGCATGAAAAGTATGAGCATGTACAGCACTCAGTATTTAGTTGGGCCTCCTTTGGCCTGTATTACTGCAGCAATGCGGCGTGGCATGGAGTCGATCAGTCTGTGGCACTGCTCAGGTGTTATGATAGCCCAGGTTGCTCTAATAGTGGCTTTTAGCTCTTCTGAATTGTTGGGTCTGGTGTATTGCATCTTCTTCTTCACAATACCCCATAGATTTTCTATGGGGTTAAGGTCAGGAGAGTTTGCTGGCCAATTAAGAACAGGGATACCATGGTCCTTCAACCAGGTACTGGTAGCTTTGGCACTGTGTGCAGGTGCCAAGTCCTGTTGGAAAATGAAATCTGCATCTCCAAAAAGTTGGTCAGCTGCAGGAAGCATGAAGTGCTCTAAAACTTCCTGGTATGTGGCTGCGTTGACCCTGGACCTCAGAAAACACAATGGACCAACACCAGCAGATGACATGGCACCCCAAACCATCACTGACTGTGGAAACTTTACACTGGACTTCAAGCAACGTGGATGAAGTGCCTCTCTTCTTTTCCTCCAGACTCTGGGACCTTGATTTCCAAAGGAAATGCAAAATTTACTTTCATCAGAGAACATGACTTTGGACCACTCACCAGCAGTCCAGTCCTGTTTCTCTTTAGCCCAGGCAAGACGCTTCTGACGCTGTCTGTGGTTCAAGAGTGGCTTGACACAAGGAATGCGACAGCAGAAACCCATGTCTTTCATACGTCTGTGTGTGGTGGTTCTTGAAGCACTCACTCCAGCTGCAGTCCACTCTTTGTGAATCTCCCCCACATTTTTGAATGGGTTTTGTTTCACAATCCTCTCCAGGGTGCGGTTATCTCTCTTGCTTGTACACTTTTTTCGACCACATCTTTTCCTTCCCTTCGCCTCTCTATTAATGTGCTTGGACACTGAGCTCTGTGAACAGCCAGCCTCTTTAGCGATGACCTTTTGTGTCTTGCCCTCCTTGTGCAAGGTGTCGATGGTCGTCTTTTGGACAACTGTCAAGTCAGCAGTCTTCCCCATGATTGTGTAGCCTATAGAACTAGACTGAAAGACCATTTAAAGGCTTTTGCAGGTGGTTTGAGTTAATTAGCTGATTAGAGTGTGGCACCAGGGGCCATCAATTTTGAACCTTTTCACAATATTCTAATTTTCTGATATGATGAATTTGAGATTTTCATTTGTTGTCATTTGTAATCATCAAAATTAAACAAAATAAACATCTGAAATATATGAGTTTGTATGTAATGTATGAATATAATATACAAGTTTCACTTTTTAAATGGAATTACTGAAATCAATCTACTTTTTCATGATATTCTAATTTTATGACCAGCACCTGTAGTTTATCTATTTAAATGTATGTAGTTAGTATTCTATCCCAGATAGATGCTCTACAATACACATTCAGTGTCATGTAGAAATGTGTTAACTTATCTAGAGTAGATGTTCATTGAAAGCAAATGTCTTCTAAAACCTTACATGAAGTCTTTCCTCTATCATGATTTAATCATGTCTGATGCTTTAATTATAGCCCCCACACGCACATTCTCATTGTGCTGTATGTAGTGCGGACTATGTGTGTGTTCTCATTGACTTCCATTGATTTTCAATCATTTTTAACCCTTTCAGTACACTGTCACAAGCACAGAGCAATGAAATGAACTCTCTGCATTTAACCCATCCCCTTGCTCAGGGAGCCAGAGTGGCAGTCTGTGGGAGTGGAACCCAGAACCTCAGGATTCAAAGCGAAATGCCTTAACCCCTAGGCCACCACTCCCCAAAGCAGGCATTAGCGTGAAGGGTCTTGCCTAACTTACCATTTGAGCTAGCCAGCCGCTATATTTCTATACCCTTTCTATACCATAACCCAGATGATAACCCTAAAGCTAACCATTAACAGCACATACCAAACCTTAACCTTGACCTTAACTTAATTCACACCTTAGTCTAAAACCAAACTGTTTGCGATAAAGGAAGTGAGGACCAGCAAAATGTTATTGCTTTGGTAGAAACGGTCCTCAATTTGATAGTTAAGTCGGTCCTCACTGTGGTGCTAAAATGGGAGTCCACAAACACTTATGACTCAATATTCTTACAGAGACTTTCCACTGGCTTTTTAAAATTATTAATTCATGTTTCTGGCCCAGACTCTCACCTTAACACTGCCAATTAAACATACAGACCTAACCTTAACTCTGACCTAAACTTAAAGGAGAAGTTCGGTTTTTTACACTTTAAGCCCATTTTCTGTAGTGTCCAGGATGAAATCGAATGATCGACACCAAAAGTTTGACAATTGCTCCTGTCTCTGCTTTTTGGCTCATTTAGAATCACCCCCTGGCTGCTTTAGAATGGGTAGCATAGAGCATGTCCGATAATGTCCTTAAAACAACCTTAAACGTTCTTTTTTTAAAATATGCTACTCACCGTGTCGTCAGCGCTGTTCAATGACGTTCCAAAAAAAGTTTCGTGAAGAAAAACCGTTCCTGTCTTGTTTTATTTAGCATTTTGTAAATCCCATTGAGTTCTGTAGGAATAGTCAATATTCTGCTGCCACCGGAAACGGAAATGGGGCCTGTTTACACAGTTGTAGTCTTTTCGCTTCACTCTGTGTACTCCGACGTCGAGAATCAAGAATCCACCTTTCGTATTCCATTTTCAGAGTTTTTTAAAGTGTTTAACAGAGACGTTAGCACCTCGACGTCGGAGTACACAGAGTGAAGCGAAAAGACTACAACTGTGTAAGGCCCCATTTCCGTTTCCGGTGGCAGCGGAATATTGACTATTCCTACAGAACTCAATGGGATTTACAAAATGCTAAATAAAACAAGACAGGAACGGTTTTTCTTCACGAAACTTTTTTTGGAACGTCATTGAACAGCGCTGACGACACGGTGAGTAGCATATTTTAAAAAAAGAACGTTTAAGGTTGTTTTAAGGACATTATCGGACATGCTCTATGCAAGCCATTCAAAAGCAGCCAGGGGGTGATTCTAAATGAGCCAAAAAGCAGAGACAGGAGCAATTGTCAAACTTTTGGTGTCGATCATTCGATTTCATCCTGGACACTACAGAAAATGGGCTTAAAGTGTAAAAAACCGAACTTCTCCTTTAATTCACCCTTTAGCCCTTAACCTAACCACCAACCCAGGGAGACCATTTAACTCGACCCCATATTGCTCATTAACGTCTCCTATGGTATGCCTGAAATCCTGCAACAGATAAATAGGAAAAATAAATAAATAAATAATATAAATATAAATATATATATATATATATATATATATATATATATATATATATATATATATATATATATATATATATATATATATATATATATATATATATATATATATATATATAAATTTTTTGCTACATTTTATATGTGCTGTATTATCAGCTTTGTGTTTTCCAGGAACATGTGTTTTACCGTTTTCTTAACTGGCCTAATAAATCCTGATTTATGTCTGAGTAGATCTAATGTTATTAGTGTACGATTTAATCATGTCAGACATAAGCCCTTATAAAACAATAGCTCCAGCCAGTCATTCCATTTGTTTAACTTCAAAATGTGCTGCTCATCCTGTATTTTTTGGTGTTGAATGAAAATTTGGCACAGTTTGGGTTAAAAGTTTAGTTAAAGTCAATGGCATTCATGAAATTTGGTAAGAGCCTATCAATGGACTTTTTGTCTAAGGCAGAAAGAGTACCCAGAATACGCATTTAATTGCACTATTCATTTATTGTGCCTTATTAAGCATAATTAACTTACATTCAAGAAGATTAGGGTCAGGCCATAATAGAAGTTCAATATCAGCCTGTTTATCATTTTTTCTGTTAAACATCGATTGCATTTATGTTTAAAACATCTAGTTGCTTTGAAGTTGAAGAATACTTACATTTAACTGTCTGGTATATACCAGCACCACTGGCAGTGAAACGTCAGCGTGATGCCACCCCCGCTCTTGGTACAGATTTCTAAGACTCGAATGCTCCATCTATGTCTAGCAAACTCACAAGCTGACCAGTGTTCTGTTGAACAGTTTGTATCCCTTTAAAAAATATGCTTCAGTGGAACCTTGAAAAGACCAACAAATGATGGTGATATGCATCCCATCATTTGAGTTAAGTGTATGAACTTTTGCCTGGAACTGTGGTGCAAATAAATGGACAGATTTAATGAGACCAGATATTTTCATGACAAAATAAACTATAATTTGGTTTAGTTTTGACTCTTTAGTTGAAACGCTGCAGTTTTTGTTTGTCTTTTTCTTTTATGTTTATCTGTCAGACACTTTGTCTTTTGTGCCCTGAATGCAGAAAGCCAAGTTAGGACCTGGAAAGAAGATGATCTCAGAAGGAGTCGATGGCCGACCCATTAGCTTCCCTTCTAACAGCCTGGACCAGGTCAAACTCAGTGATTTCAGCTTCCTGGCTGTGCTGGGAAAAGGCAGCTTTGGCAAGGTGAAAAATATTTACTCCAAAATAAAGAAAACTTACTGGACTTTCTGGTGACAAACAACTTGTCAGTAGAAGTGGCTATTCAACAATCCTTTCTCTACACTATCCCCTTTTTGTCCCTTTGAAGGTCATGCTAGCAGAGATGAAGGCCACACAAGAGCTTTATGCTATTAAGATCCTGAAGAAGGATGTAGTGATCCAGGATGATGATGTCGAATGTACAATGATAGAGAAGAGAGTCCTGGCTCAACAAGACAAGCCACCCTTCCTCACGCAGCTTCACTCGTGCTTCCAGACTGTGGTAGGTATTGGAAAACGCCCTTAGAAGCGCAACAGAACAATTCACTGCAGATTAGTTCAGGTCATGTGAATCAGAAGAGCCTTTTAGCAAAAAAAAATTTGTCATAGCTGGTTTTAGAGGTCGTAGGGGGTATATGTGACAGCTTTAATTAAAAGAAGCAGACAATGAAACAAACAAACCCAAATTTATTGGGCTAAAGAATCTGAGCCTTGTTTGAATGTCAACAATTACAGAAAAACAGATTTAATTAATGTTTGTATCACATAGAAACTGGGAATATTATTAAATTTTTGCTGATTAACCAACAACTTTGCTGAATGGTGAACTCCTTGACAAACCTCGAATGAGTAAAGCACATACATGTGACATTAAAAGATGTCAATTTGGGAAGGAAAATAAGTGCATAGTTAAAACCTTTGAGTTCTATGTAGCTCCAGTATTCAAGAAGATAATCCCAATGTCTAAAATGTCATATGCACTTCAGGCAATGAGGCGCATATGGATTTTTTTTGTATAGTTTCCTGATCATTTCCCCCTTTGTAGACCTTTTAGGAAATTAAGACTCCTTAAAATAAAATCTGTCAGCAGGTCAAAAATACGTATTTTGGGTTTATATTACACAGTTATGACTATATATCTCTCCATATTATTGAGAATACTAAGGAGCCACCCAAAGAAAGAAATTAGATGGTTCAAGGGTATAAAAGTTAAAAAATTGTATCATGTGAACTTCTAGATGCGAAGACAAACTAGCCCAAAAAAAGTTTTGATGTACATTGAGATGTAAATCTTATTGCTTCTACCAATGTTTTCCAATGCATAGCCTCTTACATTGAAACTCCCAAATTATCTTCATTGTAGACAAAGATAATGTTAAGGAAGCAAGCTTATGTCTTTTTTTGCTACACATTCTGTTGTATTGAAAAATAAAATATATTAGTCTTAAAATTATGAAATGAATGGAATGTTGGGAAATGAATCATGGCATAGCTTTGAGTGTAGAGTGATGCCTTGAAATGATCCCCTTTGAGAAAAAGTTGTAGTTCTTTAGCTGGAGGATGCAGTCTATTTATGTTTCTATATTCTTATGTTTTATTCATATATATACAGATCAATTCACCATCTGGTAATACAATATTAATGCCCTGTAAGACACATGTGTAGCCTAACCCTAACCCAATGCTTGCCTTTTACCAACATTATGAAAAAAGGCAATCTATGATTGAAATAATTCAAGCAAAATACAAAGATCTTGCTTTTTAAATAGTAGTTTAGGGTTAAGTCTTTTTAATTGAGAATAATCATAACCGTGATGTATCTCTTGAGGTGAAGGTTGCACATTTCCAATGAATAAACTTCTCATCTGCAGCTTCAATTCTCTCTTTTTGTAACCCATTAGTGTGAGAGAAATCCAATTTTTAAGGTTTAAAAATGAAGATGAGGTGTAAATATGTCTAAAGTCAATAATATTAAAAGCTTGAAGGGCTTAATCACCAGTGATGCCACAACAGATCGAAAGATCCAGCTTTGTTGTCAGCACGTGTGTGTTGCTGTGTGGAACAGCTCCTTTCGTTTTGTTTTATTTAGGAACCATCAAAAGCGTGGCACGCTGGGGTCAGGCTGAACTTGTCACCAGCAGTAAGACAACAGCGGTTTAAAATAAAGAGAATATTTCCTGACAGAAGGCTATGCTGGGTGTTTTCCTTTTTTCACAAAGCACTTTGTTGTGTGCTATTTAGGTCACCTCGTCATAAAAAGTAGCGTTAGGAAACATCTCACAGCTTTAAATCTTATCTGCATCTTTCCATGAAGAACTTCAGACATTTTTATTTTTTAATTTCAAATTTTTTTTTTATCCTGTCCCTAAATCTAATTATTATTTTACCAAAGGACCGCCTGTATTTTGTCATGGAGTATGTGAATGGTGGAGACCTTATGTACCACATCCAACAAGTGGGCAAGTTCAAGGAACCTCAAGCAGTGTAAGACATATCTGTTTTTCAGGAGCTGTTCATAAGATTATAGAATCTTTAAAACATTACATTCTGCTGATGAATGCTGTTGAAAAGTTATAAATGTACATTTCTTCTTTCAGATTCTATGCAGCAGAAATTGCCGTTGGTCTCTTCTTCTTGCACCTTAAAGGAATCATTTACAGGTGTGTGATTTCACTTAGATCCATTGTTAAACAGTTTTTAAAAATAATTAATGAACCTCTTTGGCCTTAACAGTGAAACCAATGGGAACAAAACTATCCTGGTTATGTTTAAAACACTTTCTGAAGACAAAATGAAAAAAATTTTTTTTAATCACCAATAAGAGGCCAGGAGGATTTAAGGCCAATCAATGCGATCAGACAACTATTGAACCTAGTCTCTAGTGTAACTCAAAAAAAGAAGCAACAAAAGAAGAAAGCTGTACATGAACAAAGTTATGTAGAGTAGCATCAATAAAAAAGAATAACCCCTAACCATCACATCATTGTATATTTGTCTTGTGTTTGCTGTAAAAAGCTTGTAAAGCTCCTAGATTTTCAGTAAATGGTGCTCCATAACCAGCCCTCTGTGTCTAATATGTATTGCAAGTGCATTTTCATATTAAGCTGTTACATTTTGGAAGGAATCTTTTTTGTTCTCTGCTCTTAGATTGCATTTTTAAAATAAATGCTTTTACTCCATCTGTGCAACTTACCAAAGTACCACTAAGATGTCATAAAATAACAAATAACGCAAAATAAATTTAATTCAATTCAGTTTATCTACAGTATGTAGCACCAATTCACAACATCTGTCATTTCAAGTCAGATTGGTTAAAAGTTTTCTATCTAAGGAAAACCATCTGATTGCATCGATTCATTGACTAGGCAGCAATACCTCACAACAAGCATGCTTGTAGCGACAGTGGAGAGAAAAAACTCCCTTTTAACAGGAAGAAACCTCCAGCAGAACCAGGCTCAGTGTGAGCGGCCATCTGCCGAGGCCGACTGGGGTTCAAGGAGACAGAAGCAGAGATACAGAAAGAAGTAGTCCTGTCATGCTATGCCATGCAGACCCTCCGTCTGCACAGATGAAGATTCTCTCATCTTAATGCTGCTTGCCAGCTAATGATTCTTTAGCAGGGTGGAATTGAATGCATGTTAATACTTCATACATTGATTTTGACAGAACTTGATGATTTACGTAATGCACTTCAGAATCAGGTAAAGCGTTTTTTAAATGTGAAGTGTTTAGAAAGATTAGAAAAATTGTGACAGCAGGTTAACACTGACCCTTAAGTCCTATCAGTATATTCATTTATTACTTTTAGATCTTTTTTTTTATTAAATATTGCCATTAAAAATTATTATCTAATTTTATTGGTGAATATTAAGCCAAATTCTTCAAACTATAAAAAATATATGTTTTTTAAATTCAAAATAAGCCAACTAATCTTTTCTTCCTTTTTTCAAATTATATAGGAACATTTTTCTTTTTTTGTTCATTTAAATATGATGTACTCACTAAAGAATGCACTTCATAACCACATTATCTGATCCACTGATGATCCTATCAAAACTTAGGGATCTGAAATTGGACAACGTCATGCTGGACTCAGAGGGACACATCAAGATAGCGGACTTTGGCATGTGCAAAGAGAACATGGCAGACGGCGTCACCACGCGAACCTTCTGCGGCACTCCGGACTACATAGCTCCAGAGGTGAGTGAGGCAGCACTGCTAGATGTGTAGATCTGTGTGTGTTGGGGGAGTGTGCACATCTGCATGTTTTGATGGATTAGGTCATTTCTGTCACTCTGTTTGTGTCTTGTCAGCGTTGTGCTCCAGATTAAGGTCACTGCCTTTGGACAGGGAGACACATGCAGACACATATTCACACAAGTATTCTTAAGTGACGCAAGTGTTTCAGTCAAAAAGATGAGACGAATCCCAAACCCAAACTTGACTCGAGCATTCAAGGCAGAGTTTCTGCATTTTAGCTGGTTGTCTTGTATACAAGCATTAGGCCCTAATTTGAAAGTGGTTTACTTCTTTAAGATTTATGAAATGTTAACTTATTTTGAGGTAAATTAATTTGCCCTACAGTCTGACTTTATGCAAAAAAAAAAAATCATTTTTGCTGACATTTAAAGTCTGCTGACTTTAAATGTCAGCAGATTGTCACATTGAGGGTTTCTTTTGGTTAAAACCCCTTACATGAATAAAAAACTGATCATTGGTGACAAAATGAAACAGACTTACTAATATATATGTTTTGAAGTTGGATGATTTATTTGAATACAATACATTAAAATAATGCACAACAAAATTAGTAGCATTAAAACAATATGCATATTATATGTTTATCATTAATGTTTACATTTACTAAGGCTGTATAAAAGGTTTGCATTAGATTTTTTGAAGCTTAGTAACATTTCTAACACATTTATTTTTAGTTGGGATTATTGATTCTCTCTCAAACTTTTTCTTTCATAGTGGGAGGCTAATTTCAGCTATGAGTGCTTGTCCCCAGACTGATGCTAATGCATCAGCTGGGATAACACAGCAGGCCGTCAGAGCAATGAAGCTTTCCAGGGCTTCAAAAAACTAGAGTGCTCATTTATCATCCCAAAAGGCTAGGATGGGGTCATATTGATGGTACTTTGAAAGCACCACAAAGTTCTACATCACAAATATATATCGGCATGCATGCAGAGAATAAAGAGCAAACCTTTTACTGGCTATGGAATAGTCTGCTTTGGTAACTGTAAACTTGTTAATCTATAAAGTTTTTTCCTGTCCCAAACTCTTAAGTCTTACAACTAAACAGAGCATCTTCAACCAGTACCTACACACCTCCAAATGGATATAATAGCATATCTTTAGATTTTCATTCTGAATGATTCATATTTGCATGGACCGCAGTGCTTGGGCAATTCATCCTTTTCCTGAAGGATTTCTTTCATTTTTTGCATCAAACATTTCATTATCTTCGTCTTCGTCGTCTCCCGCTTTATCCGGAACCGGGTCGCGGGGTCATTTCATTATAAGCCATTCAAAACTTGCTATTTTATCTGCAAAAGGAAATTTCAATTTTCAATTCAGTTCATTTATATAGCACCAAATTCACAACACATGTCATCTCAAGGCACTTTACAGTTCAACCAGATCATACAGTCAAATTGATACAAAGTTTTCTTGCCCCTGTAGAATGATCAAGCTCCAAGTAATCTTCCGCAAACAGTCTATTTTAACAGCATTCCAATGAAAAAACACTAATATCTATTCCTCTGTTTAGCAACCTAACCGAACAGCTCTGTTTATTGAGGCCTCCTGGTCTCTTTCCTTTAAGCTCTATATATCATGAAGCTTGACAATACGTCTGTAGTAGGATCAGGTTACCATTAATAAATGCACTCTTTAATAATCAATTAATTTCATTATAAATCTACTCTTTAGGAGAATTTGTGTTATTCTTTAGCTATACAGTACTTAAATTGGATTACTGTTGGATTAAGAATCTCTTTGAGTACAATCTGTCTGACATCATGAGGTAGACTTAAGCCGGGGCATACGCAATTTATTTTCAACCATTGCACTCATCTACAGCTCACACTGTACGAGGAAACTGCAGGATTTAAAGGTTCACAGCTCACGATGTATTTGCTCACACTGTACTTCTAAAATCCACGTTAGACTCAGCTTCACAGTGAGATGGCTCTACTGTGACTCGTCTATCCAGAAGCAAAACGAGTAGAGAAGGAAAAATACGGAACTGTTGATGCCTGCTGTTAAAAAATGGAGCTCACTAGGGAGAAACGCGCTGTCTTGGCAATTTGTGAAATCTTGTGTGCTGAAAGCCCTAAAAAGAAAGGCGATGACGTATTTGGACAAAGACAAGACTGAGCAAACGTGGCTACTATGGTCTGTCAATTTTAAAGGAAGAACTAAATTTAATTCGCAATCCCGCAATGCTTCTGTGTTTTCGTCTGAGATGAAGAAGAAGAAATATTCTTGTATGTGCATGTGCAGTGAGCGATTTGCCCACGATCACCTTACGATGGCCGACTAAATTTTAAAAATGTTTGATTTTCTCCCGACTTTATGATTCCTGATGGGAAAGCAACGCATCATCCAATCTAAAGATAGTCAATATCAGATAAAGATAACATTTTTGATATTTATATTTATGTGGAACATAAAGTCCCTAAAAGTCCAGGAAACCAAAATTAGAGCCATTATCCATGAGACAACCTGTAGCAGTTGTGAATGTACCAGATGGTGGCTGACCTGCCTAAAATACTACAAGTGTTAATTAGCATCTTATCAAAGAGCTCTTAAACGTACACAGAGTGATATTTAAAGCACTGCAGGCCTCACTCACCTCGGATAAAATCTAATAAAGTCTTCAATCATCAGTAGACAGTGAGAATGGCATAGGGTGGAAGTGTGATAGTCTGGGGCAGCTTTTCTTCTTTATGACCTAAAAGAAATAACCTCATTGATGCTCTTTTCCCCAAAATCCAGTTTTTAGACCTTATTTTACAGTAGGCTTTTAGCTAAGGCACATTTAAAGTTTATGCTACCGAGGATGGTACAAGCTATTATTATTTTTTAGGGGGAAATACAGCTTTTGCATATGGCCAGTTTGGTTTACCTTCTGTATTTAAACAGGTTATATTTGTCGGATCTTAAAATCTGTTAAATACAAAACATGCAAAGGTCAGAGAAAAAAACAAATCTGAAACAGTGCAAATATTTTTTTATCTTGATAAATGACTCTTTTTTTTCATGGAAGCTATAAAGGCAAATATTTACTTATAAAATCAGAGCGTTGGTATAAGGGACAAGCAATGGACAAAATAAGCTGTATGTTTTTTTACAGCTTGCATTGCCCTGTTTTTATTAGATGTGACAGCAAAGTCCCTTTGTGTGTTTCAGGATTTATACATTTTTGTATTTGCTACAAGAGATATTTTCCACTTTTCTGCTTCTCACACGCACCTGTTCACAAGACCCCAGCTGCGTTGTATGGAAGTACATTTTTATGTAGCCGTGGCTCTCTGGATGTCAGTATATGAGTTACAAAAGGCAGTAGTGTTCCTGCACCCCCCAAACACACATGTTCAGGGAAAGGACTATATAGCCAGACATGTGAACTTACACCTCAGTGACTCTGACACACAGAGATGGGAAAGGAAGAAGCAAATAGAGAAAGAAGACAAGGTGCTGAGAAAAAGAGCTAAAGCTGACAGATGTAATCAGACGACAACAGGAAGAATCAAAGGGAGGTTTGAAATGAGCAATAGTGGCCTCCTGATGGCTCGATGTGACCTTTTTTCTGAAGAGTTTAAGGATATTTATCTGACTAATGTGAATCATTTTCCTCTGCTCTGGTTGTTTCTCATCGAGGTGTGGGTTGAATGAGTATCCAGTTTCTTGCTCACTAAAATGTGGGCTGAAACAACAGTTTTGGTGCCAGAATGAGGTGGCACAGATCTAGTCATGGTAATAATGCCACCTTTCTGCATTTTTGAACATATTTTGTCCATATAAAAGGAGTAGAAAGAGTTTGTTTCGCCCCAACTATACACAATGTTGTTCACTTTAAAGTCATCCTTTGTCAGATTATTGCACTATGAAGTAGGTCAATGGTAGCATGATATGGAAAACAGCAAATATATATATATATATATATATATATATATATATATATATATATATATATATATATATATATATATATATATATATTTTTAAACTTTTACATAGGCTTTAGATACTAGGTCATTTCAGGCAGCCATGTGGAAAATTACTGTCACTGCCTAATGTGGTGCCATACCTGAAATCTCTTTATCAATAGAATTTAACTCTTTCAGTGTGTTCCAGTAGAATATATATATTTTGTTTCATTATTTATGTCAATGCAAAGTATGCTCTTTGGCTGCTATATCACCTGGCAGTATTACACCTAAGTGGAATGAAGACAACTTTTTGGTATTTAAAACAACCGTCAGAATGAAGAACAGAAGGACTCAGGTGACTGAACATGATTGTTGATGCCAGTGGGGTCGGTCTGAGCACCGCTGTCCAGGGGCCTCGCATATTAGTTCCTGAAGGTTACATACTTAAAGTTGGTGATGCAGAAAATCTAAAAATTGTTGCCCATGAAAAAAGTCAGATGCTTAAAACCATCTGTAAATGTTTCACACAGGAATGTTCATCCATCCATATTTCATACCCATCTGATCCTTACATTGTCATCAGAGGGTTCTCTTTCTATTTCATCCCTACTGACCGCCAGAGGCGGTGCTTCAAGCACTGAATGATCATTCATGCGCATGCGCAGGTCGAGTATTAATGACAACAAAGTCAGCTGTGACCTGCCGGGGACCCACGTGACTCTATATAGTCACGTGGCACCCGGCAATCAATCCCTTTTGTTCTTCTCGCGCGCAGGTGTGTTGAGTACAGGAGTGTGGTCGTGTGAAGCTGCTTGCTTCTGTGTATACCACTAGTTTCCTGGCTGCTTGTTGCTGGTAGCCCCGTGACCGGGTTTGGTCGGAGCTGCGGGTAAGTCTCGCCCTCCAGGGGCTGCACAAGCTGCTTTCACCTTACCAGATCTGCGGTGACTGGTAAGTTTTCGTTCTTTTCTCAGCAGTGGTTTACTGTTCGCTTTGATTTGCCACGTTAATTTTGTGGCTCTTTTGACTCACGGTAGC